AAAAAAAAAAAAATCTGGTCCTTCTTTGCACACCTAGTCTTAATTTATAAAGTCACAGCCCATCCTGTCACCTGAGCAAGAAGCCTGGGACTGACACTTTTGACATACAATTGGCCATCCAGGCCTGGCAGTGTCCCCTGTCTCCCTCGTGCAGGTACTTGGTCCCTCCAGGATCACTCTGGACAGCCTCCCTACCATGTCCTGCCTTGGTCTCTCCTGTCACCAATCTGCCAATCCTTTCTGCCCTCTGTCTTCAGAGTGGCTGCATTAGAGGCCAAATGTGAAGCTACTCCCTTGCTCAAAGATCACGCCTGGCTCCCCCGTGTCTCTGGGATGAGGTCCAGGTCTCTTTGAGCATCTTCGCTATCCTTGTTGGCTTCCTTTCTGCTTTTCACTCCACCACCTGATTTTCTCTCTGCTCTGGCCACAAAGACACCTCATTCTGCACACACGCCACGTTTTTCACAGTCCTGGGCCTCTGCCTGCCTGTGCTCCATGGGACACACCAGGACCCAGCGTTCAAGACCTCCTGAGTAATGCCCAACTCGGTGGTGGGCACTCTCCCTCCCAGGGAGACTGTGCTCTCATGACAGCCCCAATCATGTTGAGTGACTTATTCCTTGTCTTTCTTCTTTGAATCAGAGATTTCGTCTTATAGTCACCAAGCTTCGTCAGCACCTACTCAGAATAAACATGTGTTGAACAAAAAACATCCAGAAAGATCAAAAACACCTTAAGGTTACTGTGTTCCTTCCCACAGTCGGGAGGAACCTGCCAACTCAGAGAAGGCACAGATGAAAACGCTTCCCAAAAGGCTGGCATTTAAGTGTTTACAAACTGACATTAAGTTAATTTTTAATCAAAGTACTACATGCATATGGTTGTGAAATAAAATTTAAACACACACACCTCTCTCAGCCTCTCCACCCTTCTGAGGCAGCTTTTAACTCTTCACTGTTTTCTCAGGCACTAACCTTCGCATTTCTAAATAATTTGCTTATGCTGCTATTTCTTGATCTGTCTATTTGAGATGGTGCCTGCTGATTTCCTGTTGGGAGAGCCTAGAGTCTGGCTTTCTTATGCAGCCTTCCTGCCCCTTCCTCACTCAGCATGTACTAAGTGTGCAGGATGACCAGGGGCCCTACTCTGCATTCCCACGACCCTCCGAGGGAGGTGACTTAACCCCTCCTGCCACTTGCGAGGTGCAGGATAGAAGCCCAGAGACGTTCAGGGACTTGTCCACTGGCATGCAGCTCCAAAGCCTGGATGTGAAACAGATCCATTTGACTCAAAAGCCCCAGCTCCCTAGAATACTGACTCTTCTCTCTCCAGCCCCAAATCCATCCATTTTGCTAAAAGCCAGGCAGGCTGGGTGATGCTGATCTTCTCTCCAGACCATCACTGGAGGGGAAGACGAGGAAAGAAAGAAGAGAGGAGGGAGAAGAAGAAAAGACCTTGACCAGGGGACCCATCGTGCTTAGATGAACAACCAAACTCCTGGGGGCTCACGAGCCTGATGGGGTCTGGATGTTGCTGACTTTATCTTCTACTTCTTTCTCCTGGGTCTCTAAACTCATCCTCACTTCACAACCCTGCATTTTTGTCCTGTCTGCCAGGTTTTGCTCTTCCCTTGAGCCATCCCATGTCTAGCTCCTAGGTCATTCAAGTCTCAACCCGAATGGCCCCTCATAAAATGTAACTGTAAAATGGCATTAAAAATCCCTGGCACGGAAACCACTGTGAAAAACTAGATGGCAGTTCCTCAAAAAATTAAACATCAAATTACTATTTGATCCTTTTCAGAAATTCCATTTCTGAAAAATACAAAAAAAAAAAAGACCGAATGCAGGGACTCAAAGAGAGATTTATGCTCCTGTATTCACAACAGTATTAGTCACAATAGCAAAGGGGTGGAAGCAACCCTAGTGTCCACCAACCGATGAATGGATAAACAAAATGTGTACATATGCAACAGAACACTATTCAGCCTTAAAAAGGAAATTCTGACACATGCTACAACATAGATGAACCTTGAGGACATTATGTTAAGTGAAATAAGACAGAAGCAAATGGACAAGTACTGCATGATCCCATTTATATGCTGTCCCTAGAGGAGTCAAATTCATAGAGACAGAAAGTAGAAAGGTGGGTGGCAGGGGCTGGGGAGTTAGTGCACAAAGTTTCAGTTTGGGATCAAGAAAAAGTTCTGGAGATGGTGATGGTTGTACAGCAATGTGAATGTACTTAATGCTACTAAATCATACTCTTAAAAATGGTTAAAATGGTAAATCTTATGTTTTGTTAATTTTACTAAACAAAAAAATTTTTGTAGCCTTAAAAACAAACTAACTAACAAACAAAACCCTGGCACTGAGAATAGCAGCAACAATGAGTGCTACCAGTAGTCCTATTTCACAGAAGAGGGAACAGGCTCGAGAGGGAAGCCAAGCCACAGGGCTCATGAGTTTACAGTTGAAGTCCAGGTCAGAGGCTCTGGGCCTCACCTATGGAAAAGGCTGGATCTCGCCTTCTCTATGGCATGTTAAAATACTAGCAGAGCTTTTCTTTCTTATAGAGTCTTACATTTGATGGTGTCTTCGAGTCGACAAAAATGATACCATTTGTCCAGTGTTCTCTCCACATAAAGCAGGAGGCACTTTACCCATTATCAATTTATTTAGTCGCCACCATAGCCCTGGCTCTCTCCCTCACCTCCTTGGGGTTTCTGCCAAAACTTCACCTCAGAAAGCGTTCGC